ATGCCAGGGTGCAATCCTGAAGAGACTGTGTGGAGGTAGGGGTGGCAGTATTGGGGATCAGGGTTTTTCTGGATTGGTTCAGAGGGAAGAGGGGCAGGGAAGTTGAACGTCATCATGTGGGAGAAAAGATGGTATAGTGAAACAAACCGGGGCAGATCCAGTTCCCATTTGGGGGAACTTGGGGAATTAAGGAAATTTGCTGGAACTAGACAGGTACAGGGCTGGAGGGGAGCAAAAACTGTCTTCCATTTTCATCTAAACATCTCAGGAGGTTCCTGTGTAAGAAACTAGCATAAAGACTCCCCATGTACAGATGTGCTTTACCATCTATATACAAAGCTATTCACTGTAGAATTGACTGTAAGAGACTGGAGCCAACTCAGTGTCTATCAATAAGGAACTGGTTAAATCAGTCCGATTTCCATATGATGGAACACTCTCCAGACCAAGAAAGGAGACACATGAAAAAGAATGGAACTGGACCTATGGGCAAAGGAGCAAAATAGACCTTTCTCTAAAGAAGATATATGAAATGCCAACAAATACATGAAAAGATGCTCAACATCACTAGCCATTAGGGAAATGCAAATTAAGCCAAAACGAGATAACACCTCACACTTGTTAGAATGGGCATCATCAAAAAGACAAGAGGTAACGAATGTTGGCAAGGATGTGGAGAAAAGGAAACTCTTGTGCGCTTAGTGGGATTGTAAATTGGTGCAGCCACTATGGAAAACAGTATTGAGGATCCTCAAAAATTATAAATAGAACTACCATATGATCCAGCAATCCCATTTCTAGGACTATATCCAAAAGAAATGGAAACACTCAAAAAGTTATCTGCACTCGTGTGTTCATAGCAGTATTATTTACAATAGCTAATGCGTGAAAACAACCTAAGTGTGCATCAATGGATGAATGGATTAAAAAGTTGTGGTGTGTGTATATGTATACATGTACATATACACACACAACGGCATATTATTCAGACATTAAAAAACAACGTGGAAATCCTACCATCTGTGATAACATGGATGGAACTTGAAGGCACTATGCTAAGTGAAATGAGTCAGACAGAGAAAGACAAATATTGTATGATCTCACTATATGTGAAATCATAAAAACAAAAACAAAAACTCATGGAAAAAGACATCAGACTTGTTTTTACTGGAGGTGCAGGTGGGGGAGGGGGAATTGGAGGAAGGAGGTCGAAAGGTACAAACTTTCAGGTATAAGATAAATAAGTACCGTGGATGTGATGTACAACACAATGACTACAGCTAACGGTGCTGTAGGATATATAGGAAAGTTGTTATCAGAGTAAATCCTAAGAGTTCTCATTGCAAGGAGAAAATGTTTTCCTTTTCTCCTTCTTTTCTTTTTATTGTATCTATGAGAAGATGAATGTTAACTGAACCTATTGTGATAATCATTTCACAATATATGTTAATCAAACCGTCATGCTGTACACCTTAAACTTACACAGTAATGTATGTCAATTACTTCTCAATAAAGCTGGTGGCGGGGCAGGGGGAAGGAGAAGGAATTCCTCATCGCTGTGATACAGAACAATCACCAAGATATATTTTAAGTAAAAAAATGCAATGTGCATAATTAGGGAAATGACAATATAAGTTACTATGAATTATGATTTCAGTTTGGAAAATTTAAATACCTGATAATTCCAAGTGTTGGTGAGGAAGTAGAGCCAACGCAACTCTCAAATATACTGATAGGTGTGTGAATTGACACAACCATTTTGGAAAACAGTTTGGCATCTCTACTGCAGTTGGCAACGTGCATTCCCTAGGACTCTGCAAGCCCTAGGGAAATCCTTATCCGCCTCTCCCCCAAAAGAACATAGACACCAGGGGAAACAATTAAGAGCATTTATATGAGTGTTGTTTCTAGGAAAAATTAGAAGAAACCCAAATATCCTGAAACATCACAATGAAAAATTAATGGCATTATCTTCATACAATGGAATTCCATGCCAGAGTGAAGATGAACTAACCAGCCATGCATACCAGTGTGACTTGCTCTCAGGACCATAATTGTAGGGACGATCAAAGCAAGTTGCAGAAGACTGCATGCAATACAGTTTCTTCTCTTCAAAATCTAAAAGAGTGAAACACTACACAGTATTTATTATACAGTGATATAAACATGTGTAAGGACTATAAAGAAAAGAAGGTCATGATAAGCATAACATTCGGGATAGTATTTAGGAGAAGAGGTGTGGTGGGGAAGGGCCACACAGAGGATCTTAAAAGCTCTGCTTTTTTGTCTAGGACAGGTGGTGGGCACTGTGGCTTACTGTATCATTGGGTGTTTAAATATATATATATTATTATATATATAATAGCTTCTATTTTTGTGCCTACTCAGTATTTAATAAAAATAATTTTTTAAAATGAGGCCTAGAGCCATATGAACAGTATGCTACCAGTTACACAACAAAGGGGACACACACACACACATATGCTAGTATTAAAGTATCTCGGGAAAGTTTCATACACAACCGGTAAAACTGGTTGCCTCTGGGAGGGGAACTGGGAGGCTAGGGACAAGGAAGAAGACATCCCTGAATTTCAAAAATTTGAATCGCATAAACCAATTGAAATAAAAAATAATAAAATTTGAAGAAAGACTGAGAGAGGGAGACAGAGGAGGAGAAAGGGAAGAGAGGGAATGAGGGAGGGAGGAGGGGAGGGATGGGGACAGGAGGACGACTGGCTGAGCCCTAGCCGCCAAAACCTAGATGTGCCCAGAAAGTACATTAGAGCCAGAAGCCCTGTGGGCCAGCCCAGGAAAGCCTGTGTCCTCTTGAACCTAAGGACAGGGCTGGCTTCAAACAGCTGCCTACATGAACTCTGGCTCTGCAACCTTTTGTTTTCAGAGCTTTGTTTCCAGAAAAAGCTCCCTCGGGTCTCTTTCCCGGACCCTGCCTTCTTATCTCAGACCTTCACCACTGGTGATCTGAGCAATTCCTCTGAAGCCACTTCAGTCTTCTGAGCCTTCATCCTCTATGACTCTGTCTGTGTCACCAAGGTCAACCAACAGCAAATAGGTCCATTTCATCCCCTTTTTAATCCTCCCCACGAGGACCCAGTGTCATTTGCTATACTGCCTCATCAAAACCTGTCCTCATATTCTTTATTTACACTGGAATACTGATAACTCAAAGGAAACAGGGTCACAGGTATGCCCTCAAGAATCATGGCCTTGAGAGGTAAAGGCATGAAATGTTAATGGAATTTCAGGCATTAACCTGTGGGCAAGGAAGGATTTGGACCCAAAGTGTAGGGCGTGCCTTCTGTCCTGCTTGTACTTAGGTTGCCTGAGGACTGAAGTGTTGGCAGCTTGGGTCCATGTGAGAGTGGGCCACTGAGGCTGAGTTCAGAGGCCCTGAGTCCAATGGCCAGAGATGAGGAGGAAGTCTAGACAATGGTTACCAATGGAGCGGGGGCGGGGGTGGGGGGCGATATTGACTAGGAAGGAGCATGAGGATCTCCCTAGGGCACTGGAAATGGTCTGTATTTTAATCTGGGAGGTGGTTTCATGGATAGATATGTATGTGAAAATTCATGGAGATGAAACTTAAGGTTTGTATACCTTAATTACTATATATAAAGTTGTATCTAAAACAATACTATTCAAGCCTAAAGCTCCACTGCTCCTTATCCTGGACCTGACAACTTGGCTACTGATCCTGCCCTCAGAAGATTTTTGTGTACACCTGGAATGACCTGTCATGGAAGATGCTGGTGGCTGTATCTGAGGGCAGAGTGGGAGCTTCTCAAGCTAGAGAAGAAATTATATGGCCGTGTGGGGGTCTCCTTGCTCACAGATGTTTGAACAAGGGGCAGAATTTGGTCTCAGACTTATTTCCACTGAAATGTACCCCCAGTACCAAAGATGGAGATATATAGCTCTCATTCAGTTTCAACTGCTGGAGACTACCAATATTTTAGCAAAACAAAAGAGCATAAAAAACAAAACAGTAACAGGCAAAGGTTGGCTTAGGCCACTTCAGGATACACAGCAAGTGAGGTACGGCCAGACTTGGGCGGAGGCAGTGTCAGGTCTTGTGTTCCAGTCCTGCCAAGAATTTCTGCAAGGACCATCAACATATTGGAGGTCCTTTGTTAATGTTATACCAAATTGAGAATGTTCATAATTTAGTGACTTCAATGTTGAGAATTCATAGGTCCTGTGGAAGTAATCAAGAGACCCTTGCGTCCTTTAGCGATACCACTGGGACAAGCACAAGAGCCATGCAAGACCAGAAAGAATGGGAGTGGAGGGGATGGGGAAAAGCTACCCTAGGCCCAGCAACCTAGTAGCGTGTCCCTGGGGACTCTCCCTCTGATTCTGCTCAAGATGTGCCTTTCCAAAAATGATGGAGACACAGCCACTGAGAGAGGGAAGAAAAGTATGAAAAAGGCTAGCACGCCTTGAAATGTGTGGAGCCCATAAGAAAAACCTTGGCCATATTCTTGTCCCAGGATTCTGCCACCATTTCTTGGCTGGCTGACTTTGAACAGATCTTTAAATCTTGGTTGGTTTCTTCATCTGCAAAATAAAGACCTAAGAGGCTCAAGGATCCCTAATGGGGACAGAGACAAGGTCCAAGGAGGAGTGAGCATCCTAGAGTCGAATTCCACAAGCTGGATAAACAGGTGCCGGAGATGTCCAAAGGGCCACTTCTGCCACTAAAGGAACACAGCCACAGGGAAGCTGAAGCATGGGAGATAGGCTGGACCCTCCACAGCTCCCAGAAGGCGGTGCTGTTTGGGAGGGAAACAATGTCAGAGCTCATCTTCACACTCTTT